CATGCAAATTCTAACTGTTGATCCTTCGAGAGAGAAGTATCAGGACTTTGACACCCTGGTCAGTAAAGGTGACACTGTTGTGATAGGTTTGGAGGTATTGCAAGTTTTTTTTTTTTTTTGGGTTAGAAATAGGTCATTGTATTAAATAGAGCAAGTGCTCCAAGAAACAGAACTAAACACGGATGATGATATCCCATGTTCAAGGAGTTAATACATTTAAACTCTTAGAAAAAACAGGAAATCACAATCAAGCCTCAAAAAGCACAAAAGGATGGTGATAAGCCATTCTTGACCCTAAAAACTACCAAGCCTATGTGGCGCGCATGCCGAGTAACTAATGAGCTAACTACGTCTTTCGGTTATGTGCGGGGCGTGCCAACTCGACCACCTAAGTCGATCGGTGAGTAAAATGAGTTGATGTTGTATTGAGTGCCCTGCTGACTTTTTGATCTTGCCACTACGGTCGAGGAAGGAACACGTCTTGACTTTTGGGTTCTAGAACCTGAAGACGAGGCTACTAGTTATCCGAAGCTCACGAATTGTCGAGGCCGGGTTCTGCCACGGTGATTATATTCGTAAAAGTATAAGCACGCCGAACTGGCACCAAACTATATGGACACAAGTACTCAAATGAGATGTATATCTTGATGGTGAATAAGATTCGACTATCAGAATGCCGAACTCTAAAACTTACTTGTGAATATCCAATCATAAAACACCTCGGCGTTCAATGCGCTAAGCCCAGTAATCTGTAACACCTCACTTCGCCGAAAAGGCTAGTGAGATAACTTCTGCCAATAAGGATTCGAAAATCCTTCTCAACCGAGACTTGGATAGATAACCAGTCAGCCTCGATGCAATGTTGTTTATCCAAACTGAAGGTGCTTTGCGGTCGGCTGATTCTATGGCAATAGTGTTGTTTATCCAAACTGAATGTGTTCGCCGGTTGCCTTCACAGTGTTGTTTATCCAAACTGAAGGTGTGTTGGCTAAAAAGAAAATAAAAATCTCAAAGTTGTTGAGAGGTTTCGTATAAAGCAAGAGTTTGCGCATGGCAGTTTGTGTGTTGAATTGGAGGGGCTTAGAATGATGCAATCCCTTCTTATTTATAGCAGCCAATCTTATCATGGTTGACCCAGAACTATACTCGGATTAGGATTTCTTAACCTAATCCAACCAGGTCTCGGCCAATCCTGCCTCCATTAGGGCTTTGAACCAACCTCTTTATTCGGCCACATTCACCTCTCAAATCTCAGCATCCTCATCCTATTGAGACTTCTTGTTATACTAGGATTCAACTTGCCTCATTAATCCGTCTCATACTAGGACTTGGCCGAACTTAACCAAGCGGCCCATAATAACTCAAATTCACGATGATTCTAGAAACATATTGTCAGGCCAAGAATAACTTCTAACTTGGCCTACACTAGTATTTTGGGCCCAAACAGCCATCCAGAAAAAAAAACCTAGTTACAAGTGGGGCAAGGAAGCCCATCTCAAGAAAGAACAAGAACCAACGAGGGAAGGGGTTGTGAACAAGAACAAGAACAAGAACAAGAACCATCTGTAGTTTCTCACCCTCGACAAAGCCAAAGCTACAACCTTATGAGCTGCTCTATTTGTCTTCCTTGAAACCCATCGCCAACTGACAGCATTGAGAAAACAACTGAAGCCTCCAAATCTCAGATACCATATAGAAAACTTTCCACATACCACTAACACTCTTTTTTGTTATGCAGTCCACAACTTCCGTAGAGTCACTTTCAATGATCACATTCTTAATCCTTAACTCTTTTCCCAAAGATAAACCTGCAAAAGCCGCCTCAATCTCCATTGCTTTAGGAAAAGCACGCTGCAAAGTAAACACCTCCCCACCAATAAGAGAGCCCAGATGATTTCAAATAATGATCCCCATAGCCCTATACAGTCTTCGCTTATTCCAAGCCCCATCCACGTTAATCTTAACAAAAGGATCACAAGGAGGGGACCATGTAAAGGGAATTACATCCTCTCCTGCAAGGAGGGTGGGTGTAACAAAACAAGAGTAAATCTCACCAAAACGAAAAGAGCTTTTCTACAAAACTCAAGAAGGGGAAGGATCCAGGCCATTGAAGAGAGCATGACATATCTCTTTCCAAATTTCCCAAACAATTATTGCTGTTAGACTGAGAAAATTAGAAAAGCGAGACCTTGACAATGAAAGGCTTTGTACCATACATAAGAACCACGAATCCAAAGTTGTAACTAGTTGAGGATTAGGCTTGTAGTTTAATAGAGAGCCAAACCAAACACACATCACCCAAGGGCATAAAAGCATGATGTGTTCGATAGATTCCTCAAACTTCTTACAAAGGGGACAATGAAGGTTTGAGGCAACCTTACGACAAAAAAAAGAGAAAGCTTTGTAGGTATGGCATTTGTTGTCGCTCTCCACAGAAAATTGTTCACCTTTGGTACCGCTCTGATGTTCCATATCAATTTCCAAACCTTGTTATCAATTTGATGAGATGAATGCTTCAATACTCGACTCGACGAAAAAGAGTGGGATTTCATCCAATTATAACCACTTTTTACTGAATAATTCCCATCTTTAGTCCAAGGCCAGAATATCTTGTCCTCCTCCAAATGACCATACAATGGGATAGACTTAATCAAACAAGCATCATCCTGAGAAACAAAATGCTTAATTTCATTCAATCTCCAAGGGAGGGAAGTAGAGTCAATTAGAGACGCCACCATTGTGGGAATTGGCCCCACAATGATCGTAGTTGGTTTCGGACAAGAAGTAACAGGCGTGGGGAGCCAATTGTCACTCGATATTTTAACACACTGCCCATTTCCAATCTGCCATTTCGCCCCCCTTTCAATAATTTTTCTACCTTCTAATAGGCTACTCCAAGCCCAGGAAGGACGCGAGCCCCTTGACGCCTTCATGAAATCAGAATTTGGGAAGTATCGAGCCTTCAACACTTGAACCCAAAAAGCATTGGGGTTTTAAACTATTCTCCAACGTTGCTTTGCTAAAAAAGAACAATTGAAAGTCAGGTCTTGTGAGTCTCTCTACGATTTTTGGTTCATTTTTTGGCAAAAGAAACAGTGTTTGGATTATGAAGGAACAAGCCAATGGTCTCAAAGAATGGTAATATGGTTTTATTTTTTTTTTAATTGAAATAGTAAGGAATTTTATTGCTTAAAAGAACAAGCCAAATCACGGAAGCAAAACAACAAAAGATTGAAACAACCACCAAAGTACCAGTACACTCTTCAAGAAGAAGAAATCAATAATGAGGTCTAGCGGTTCCTCAAATCATGAACAAAGAGAACCACTAAAGGCAAGTGGTCATTTACTACAATAGTGGAAAAATGTTACGTCTTTACATGACGGCGTGGGTTTAAATCCTATTGGTAGCTAATCTAACATCTAATCTAACAAAATCTATCGTTGGTCATAAAAAACCACTATAGAGGGCAGTACGACTCAAGGGGTGAAATGGTTCTTTTGGGAAGAGGATCCTTTCCTAAGCTCAGGATGGGGATCCTCCTGACCACGAAATCCGAGCCGTTCAAATTTAATCTAATGACTTTAAACAGGGAGCCCTTCTAAAAATTATAATAATTGCAACCGTTGGATTAAATTTGAACAGCCCGGATTTCGTGATCAGGAAGATCCCCATCCTGAGCTCAGGAGAGAATCCTCTTCCGTTCTTTTGAATCAAGTTTTGACTACTTTTTTTTGGTGTAATTTAAAGGAAAGGGAACAAAACAAGTCAATATTTGGGGTCTAATAGGAAGACATTTCAAGCAATGAATGGTTTCTGAATGTGGTAGTCAAAGCAACAAAAGATGATCCAAGTAATCTTCCCTGCTTTCAGTTTTTCGTCTAGATAACGCACATCGAATGCCAACATGATCCTCTTCAGAATTTTTTTGTGAGAATTCCAATGATTCGTAAATCGTATCTGTTCATTGTACATCGTGAAATCAGTTTTAGTCAGATACTGTTTGTGTTCAATTTTAAATAAAAAATTTAAAATAATTTCTAATCACATGATGTACAATAAACGGACACAATTTACCAATTTTCGGAATCCTCGCAAAGAGGATCCGGATTCCAAGGAATGTAACTGTCTGTCTAATCAATATACTCCACATTTCCATATATTTATCTGATTTGAAGAATAATAAATAGAGACCTCTAATAAATAAACACACTTTGTTTGAAGCATTCTTGGTCGAATAACAAAAAGTAAAACATAAGCAGCTTACTGCTCACGCAGAATTGACTGAGCCCCGTATTAGAATATATTTTCAAATAAGAAAATAGTTATTAGCATTTTAAAAAATTTATTTGGTATTCTAAATTTTTTATGATTAGAAAGACAAATACACTTGTGAGAACTGTAGAATGAGATTTTTGGAGTGCTAATAACAGTTCCCTCAAACAAAATGACGTTTTTAAAGAGTTGTTTACTATAGTAAAAGCCAACTATGTATTTCCATAAGGGCCAAGAAAGATTTTGTGATTGTTTCAGAATAAACGTAACATAAGATGCGGTAAAGTTAGGACAATTATTGTATGAGGTCTATCCAATGTTAGATGGCCAGGCACATAAGAAATTGATATGAACATCACGAGCTATCTCGTAATAAAATTGGCTGTTGCTGATGTTAGGATTAGTTACTAGTTATATTGATTCAAATTTATATTTTTTTGGGAGTTAGTTGGAATGTGTTCTTATCTATTAATAGGTTTTTGGTTCACACCTATTTTTACTTCTCAAACACCTTTGTTAAAAATTTTGTTAATTGATTTTCTTCAATTCATTTTATGTTGAAAGATGTGTGTGAGAGGTAGAAGTAAGTGTGTAGATAGCACCACCCTTTTCATAAATAAGTTGGATCACATTATCTTCCCACAAAAAGCCAATACTACCGCATAAACCTACTTAGAGATCGCATTCAAAGTCTCTCGTCATGGTATTTTAATACAACACCTCTCCTAACAAAACAAAAAACTGTAGATAGATAGATCCATATTTGCACGAATAAGAGTAGCTCAAAAATTGAAGTTTTTTGGACTGAATTAAATATGTACAATAGAGACTTGTGGCACAATTTTTTCAAAGGCAAGGAAATGTAAGAGAACGAAATAATATCCACACACTATTTTTTTTTTCTTCTGCACATTTCTGTTTAATGTTATTTGTTGTTTCTATTTGATTTATTCAATCCGATATTAAAAATAAACAAAAATATTTAATAGAAGAAAAATAGTGTGTGGTTATCATTTTCAAATAAAAAAAATTCAAATAATTACTTGCTAGTTGTTGGCAGAATTACCACCAATGGAGCAAAGTTTTGAGCAAAACCAGAACCAAAATCCCTTCTTATTCTTCTGCTTCAATGCTTGAAAAGCAGCACTCTCTCTCTTGGCCTCAAGATCTGCCATGTACTTCACAACAGCCTGGTGATGAACAAAAAAAATTGAAAGAGCGTTTATTACTTCAAAAGAATATGAAAAAAGTTGACTTTCCACCATAAAATGAATTAGAAACCGGGTGAAATGGAGCACGTGTTGCTGTTGGGTCTCTATGAGACAACCTGCTATGATATCATGAAGTAAGTTGGGTTACATCATAAAACTAATTGGAAACATGAGAAGTAGCCCAACTTACTTATAAGTTCATGCACGGTCAGTCCTTCCGTCACTATGAGATTCATTCTCAAGATAATATATACAAAACTAATTGAAAGTTTCTTATATAGCGTTACCTGGGCACCCAGTTTTATCACTTCTCTTGGTGGAACTTCCATAGGTGTCTCATCGGCGCGAAAAACTCTCAGTTTCGACAACATTTTGAAAGAGTTTGGTAAAGTTCTGATCTGATCATCACTGATATCCAACTCTTCAAGCAACTCAAGATTACCAATTGACCGCGGCAAGGCTCTCAAGTCTGCAAAGTTGTTTGCCACATTCAGCTTCTTGAGGTTCACTGCAAAGCACAAGTTTTCGGGTATGGATTCGAGTTCGTTGAAGCTAATGTCAAGCTCCTTGAGGTTGTTAAGATTACCAATTGTTGTTGGCAACGCTTTGATTCTGTTATAGTGAAGTGTAAGAACCTCTAAGCTTTCGATCTTTCCAACTGCCTCCGGAAGAGCTCTTAGCTCGTTGAAATCCAAATGTAGCTCAACAATTGATGTGCAGGATCCAATTGTGTAAGGCAATTCCTGAAGCTCATTTGTTTCAACATTCAGTAGCTTTAAACTGGCCAATTTCCCAATTACATCGGGCAAATGGGTGAACTTGTTTGAACTCAAATCGAGGTTAAGGAGGTTAATCAAGTTCCCGAAAGAGGCCGGCAGAGATTTCAACATGTTTGCATGGAGGTCAAGATCAGTGAGATTGCTCAACTCACCAAATGACTCTGGAAGGTTTACCAGCTGGTTCGAGTGAATGTCAAGCTTTGTCAAGGCTTTAAGGCCACCGATCGTGGGCGGAAGAGCCATGATTCGGTTTTCAGACAAGTTCAATTCGGTTACATCTGATAACTTCCCAAGGGATACAGGAAGCCACTCCATTTGATCTACTAACTTTCCTCCAAGATCAAGAACTACTTCCCCACTTTTAGCGGTGTTTTCAATCACAGCTGCCACCTTCATTAGGCTTAACTTTCCAGAGTCCACGACACCTATAGCGACATCAAAACATTTGAAGAAATATCAGATAGCTACTTTAAGTTCCACAACTTTCTGCAGTAACAGTTGGGAGATAGCTAAACAATCTCTTGATTGAAAAAATAGACCGAGTTAGTGAAAATGAGCAACGGAGTAACACAGGGTTATGCTGGAGAACCCTAACAACTAATATACGAGTTCAGGGACCAAAACTAAACTCGGGGTAAAGCTCAACGACCGTTGCTACAATCAAGCCTTCTCATAGGACCGAAACTTAGAAAACAGAAGAAGAAAATACTAACATAAAATCTTGATGATTAGAGGTTGATTAAAACATGAACATCTTATTGATTAACAGGTTTTAAACTAATCACACTTTATGGCTAACTAATACAACACGAAGATCAGATAACCTTAGCAGATTTAGTACGCTTTGAGTTCCTAATCGACAGAATCCTCTGATGACCAAAAAATTCTGAAATAAAATTGAAAAATTAAGAGGCTGACCTGAAGAAAGAGTGGAAGCACTGCTCACCAAACCCTTAAAGCCATCTTTCTCATCTTCTTCATATCCCATCTTCTTCTTCTTCACCAAACTTTGATCACGGATCACAGCTTCCCTCCCAACTTTCTCAACCGGGTCACTGAAATCAACATGATTCTGACTCGGAACATCACCCGAAACCAACCCGGAAGCTCTCTGGATAAGATCATCAAAGGTGTGAAACAACTTGTCAGTCTCAACCACATATGAAGCCTCCTTCCTCTGCTCGTGGCTCTGAAACAAAACCACGGTCTTCTTCGACTTCTGCAACACATCGAAGAGTTCTTGGGGAACGTCTTTCGGTTTCTCTAGCTTCGATATCTCCTCGAGCTTCGCTTGCTCCTCGTTGGCCACTGTTTCGAGGACGGACAAGGCTGCTTCGACCTCTTCAATGGAGGGCCTCGGTGGCAGCGACTTGTAGAGCTTCATGATTTCTTCAACTGTTTCTACAAGGGCCGGGGATGGTGGTTCTTCCTTGAGCTTGGGTTTGGCACCCATGGCTAATGGTTTGGGGGGAGACTTTGGAGAGTGCTTGGCAAGAAAACACAGTAATTGGCAAGTTTTGAATATCTGTTTGATTCCATGGGCTCTCTCTGTTATTCTATCCCATATAAAACAGGGGAACCATTTGCTTAGAACTTTCTTTTATTTTATTTCCTATTTCTTTTCTTAATGTAATTTACAAACTTCACGCTTTTCCGTTTCCTTAATTCAATATCTTTTTTTTTTTTTTTTTAAGAAAAGCACGATATTCATTGATATGGTTGACATGATACGTATATTTAGGTCTCGTTAAATTTTTTATTAAAAATGTTAATTTGATTGAAGAGAAAAAGAATGTCCTACACTAAAATTACATAACAGTACTATCTTAAACCAAAAGATCAATAATTATATCTGGAGGTTCCTTAAACTACATCACTTGTTCAACAGACAATCCACTCTTGCCAATCTGTGTGCCACCCTATTGGCCTCTCGTCAAGTATAGGTGAGTTTGAAGAGATGCGAAAGTTCCAAACCTTGTCTCTCCAAAGATTGGACACGTGTTTAAAAGTCTTTTTTTTATTTTTTGGTTCAAACGATATTATTACTATTAAAGGATATCGAGAAATAGGCTAAACCTGCTTGTAATATAGTGGTTAAAATTTACTTTTGGCAAGAATCAAATCTAAGACATTTCACTTACAAGTGAAAAAGAATACCACTAGACTGTAGTAATAAGTGGTTGTCTGAAAGTGCTTTTAAAATAGGGAACTTTAACAAATACTTTCGGTACTGTTGATTTTAACAAAAAACTATATTTTTACACTAAAAAGTCAATCCTTGTACTATTCACTTTATCCTTTATTTTGTCTTTATCATTCAAACTCAAAATTTTAAAACCCTTTTCATTAGTTTTCCTTTTAAAATATCTATTTGTGACATGAAATTTTTATTCTATTGTCATGTCGATTACAAGTTTCAAGTTATGAATAAAGATTTTATCCATGAGAAGAACAAATGGGATAAAATCAAAAGGATTGGACTGAATTGGATTGGTATGGATATTTTGTATATTTTCTTACTATATTTAAAAATACAAGGAAGGGTTGAAATTTAAAAGGGAGAAGTGTGTCACCTTGTACAGCTGCTCAGAAGGTCAAGGTCTATTAATTGAAATTAAAATATGCCAATGAAGTTGATGACGTTGATTTTTGGAAAAGGACGATTTTGACCTTTACAAGACATCATGCATGATGCACATCGATGCGCATGTGTACAAGGTTTCGTTTCTCACAAGGAGTATGCTTGGCTGGCCTACTAGTTGAATTCCCAAATACTGCTATTAGTGTTCTCGTTTCTCTTTCTTCATTTTTTGCATTAAACTTATCGTTCATTGACTTTTTGTTTTATTTTTGTTTTTAGATTAAACGGAAGTTTATTAAAATATCAATAGGATACTCGTTAGATTCTCTTTATAAGGATCTTGAAGATCCTCCAATCACATCCATTCATCGTACATCGTGCGGTCATAAATTATTGTATTTTTTTTAATTTAAAATTGAATATAAATAGTACCTGACAAAAACTAGTCGCATGATGTATGATGAACGGATGTGATTGAAAGATCTGCCGAGGATCCTCTCTCTTAAAATATATACAACACAATTCATCAATCGTAGAGGTTCCATATATATAGCTGGTTTGGAAGTAATTTTAAAATGATTGAAAATGCTTTTTAGATAAATGTTTTTGGGTTCCAAAAGAAGAAGCATTAGTTATGTGCTACTTCCAAGAAGCACTTAAGTGTTTTTCTAGGATTTACTTACACTTTTACTAAGGATCGGTTCAAAAAACATTTTTAACAAAAGCGATTTCAGTCATTTTAAAACACTTTCAAACGAGCTCACAATTAACAAGGAAGATAATACTCTTGATGAGCAAACCTTGCAAGACGGAGAATTACCATAAAGGCATCACGAAGAAAAAATCGGGGATCATTCTATAATTAATTTTATAAAATGTAACAACCTGGCAAGTGGCTTGTAGCTCAATAGATTTTTATTTTTTTATTTTTTAGTACATCAATATTTTTACCCTAAAGGAAAGGGGAGTTCGGCTAAACCACACAATGAGTAACCTAATTTGGTATCGAATTCGTCATCCACAAAAGGAATACCACCAGCTGTAGTACTAAGTGACTGTAACTCAGTTGATTAAAAGTATTTGTCCTTACACTTGAAGTCTCATGCTTGAAAACTCACCTTAGTTTAGAATAAATAAATGTAGATAATCCTATCATTTGTAAAAGGAATTAAATGTAATGACTTGTTGCAAATCATAAGGATGTTTTGATGGTTGTTTAATCATGAATGATATACACAAGCCATATCACAGCCATATCAATGCGATCTTATTTTATAGGATTACTTCGTATCATTAATTAACAACTTATTTTAGAAGCTTATTTTCCAGCAACGTCTCATAGAACTCGATTTTGATCACATTGAAACTAAAAAATCGTAATGTTTACCTACTGAAACTCAATTTTCGTCCCACTTTATCAGTATCTATCAAAATAAAATAATTGCTTTCTTTCACTCAAAAGAAATCTGCAAAATTTGTGGTGACCAAGTCATATGATCAGAGTCCCGTTCTCTTAATCTTATGACCACCCAACATTTGATTTGATATCAATGATTGTGTTTGTACCATACTTAGGGCATCCGTATAAATACTCGGATGACTCAAATGTAATTATGTAATAAAGGAAAGGGCAAATATGTAAAAAATGGGAGGAACCCTTATTCTATAAAAGGGCATCCTCACCCTTACAAACCCTAAGCCTCACAAGCCTCCTCACCCCCTCAAGCTCTCACCCTTACTACCCTCTCACATACAAAGAGGCTATCTCAACTATCTCTTTTTATGGGGGACTCCTCCTCACCCTTGTAATTCATACATACAGTCAGAGAAATACAATCAGTGTGGACGTAACCCAAACCTTGGGGTGAACCATGATACATCTTGTGTTATTTACTTTCTTGCAGATTCATGGTCGGGTTTACGTTGTTCCAAGACCCATCCGGTTTTGTGCATCAACATTTGGCGCTGTCTGTAGGAAACGACACAAAAAACTATGTCGGTTCTTTTTCATTTTTCCATCTCATCACCGTGAGACCTTACCACACTCTATCGTGAATCTGCAAAAACCCATAACATCCCTTTTTGGGCTTTTCTAGAAAACCTTCGCAGACTCTATGCAGTTTAAAAAAAAAACCTTCCAAAAACCCATTTTTCTTTCTCTCGAATCTTCCGCAATCTTCCCCTCCATTACACAACCCCCTTTTGACTCTCTCTCTCTCTAGACTCCAGGTGTTGTTCTCAATCCCCTGTATAGACAAACTCCCTCTATCTATATAGATATAGAGTCACCCAATATTACCCACCAGTCATTCACATTCAAACATCGTTAAGAAGAACCAGAGGAAGAAGAAGAAACAACAAACTTGCAATTGGAAGAATTGGAGGAGAGATGGGAAACACCGGCTGTGCTTCCATTTCCAACTTGAACTTCGTCCGGAATCGCACCCACAATTGCTTCGACCAGCAAGGACCAATCAGAAACAGGCTGGGTTTTGTTCGAGTCCACCACTCGAGGAGGCCGATACCGAAGCTCAGTGCTCTGCGGATCTGGAGGAGCCTCTGCGGTGATGTCGTTTGCTACGCTGTTGATGATGATTTGAGAGAGAAGTAGCAGGAGTTTGGTGCTGGATCTGGGGTTGGGTCATCTGTCGAGGAGAGGCCTTCTACTTATTTGGTTGATGGAGTGAAGGACAATGAAGGAAGTTTGATTTCCAATTTTCTATATCCTGGTCGGAGTGTTGACTGTAAACATGGCCGGCGGAAGGGTCAACGGCGGTCGAAATTTGTCCGTCCTCAGTGCTTTGCTTCAGAACCAGAGGAGTTCTGAGCCTTTTGATTCTCTGTTCCTTTCTGGGTCATCAACTTCTTCCTCTGCTCATTTTCTGGGTTCAAGATCGATGGTGAGTTTCCAAAATGTACGTGGAGGAAGGGGATTGAATAAGTCATTGTTCCACCAGTATGATCACGAAGATAACAGGGAAGAAGACTTGGGTAAGTATCTCCATCAACTTGGGAAGAAGAGACGGCTAACCGCTGATCAAGTCCAGTTTCTCGAAAAAAGCTTTGATGTGGAAAACAAGCTGGAACCAGAGAGGAAAGTCCTGCTGGCAAAGGACCTTGGCTTGCAGCCTCGGCAGGTTGCGATATGGTTCCAGAACCGCTGGGCGAGGTGGAAGACAAAACACCTTGAAAAGGATTATGAGGTGCTGCAAGCCAATTACAATAATCTCAAGGCTAACTGTGAAAGCCTTTCGAAAGAGAATGATAAATTAAAGGCCGAGCAACGCCAAGCTACTGGCAAGTCAGAGGCAGGGAAGATAGAGGCGTGGATGCAGGTGTAGCCCTCTTCCAGTAATGTCTTGACCCCAGGGACTGAGATTACTTTTCTCCTGTTCACCTCAGCCTCAACGGCAGTAACCAGTCAAACCCAACTCGAAGGGGGTGGGCATGATCATTATCATCATTATCAAGGTGAAAGCGGGCCAGCATTGGAGCGAGTTGTGACCCACCAAAAGATTTGTCTGGGTTCATCGCCACTAGGTTGCAGATCCAAGCGCGGAAGCTGCTCGCTGTGTAAAGCAGAAAAAAAAAAGAGAAAAGCAAAAGTAAGAAAAAAAGAAAAAGGAGGAGGATAAAGAGAAATCATGACCAGGCTACACATGTTTGTGAATGAACTTCCACGAAAAAACGGGTGGGGTAAAGGCAAAGCAGAAGATGCCATCAACTTTTGAAAAAGAAAACTCTCATCATGCATGTTCCCACTTTTCTGAAAAAAAGCCATTGGAATACGCACATGGAAAAAGATCTGCGACAACCCAGTACGCACCAACGATCTGCAACTGTCGAAACCTTTGTTTTGAATGATGGAATTTATTTTTCTTATTTTTCGGAAACATCTGTATAAACTCCATCAAAGGGTAATCATAAAAAAATAAAAAATAAAAAAATAAAAAAGGGCAAGCCCAAAATAATGGGCTGCAATGGGGAGGGCCAATGCCCATATGCCCAAAAGAGCCAAACCCTCTATTATCACCAATCAAGTGATCAAAATTACGCCTAGTACTTCCAAAATTATTCGGCAACCTGCCACTATTATCACCAACCAGGTGACCAAAAGTACGCCTAGTACTACAAAAAAATTATTCGGCAACCTGCTGCTATTACCACCAACCAGCTGATCAAAAGTACACCAAGTACTTCCAAATTTATTCGGCAGCTTGCTGCTATTACCACCAACCAGGTGATCAAAAGTACGCCTAGTACTCCAAAAATTATTCGACAGTCTGCCGCTATTATCACCAACCAGGTGATCAAAAGTACGCCCAGTACTCCAAAATTATTCAGCAGCCTGTCGCTATTATCACCAACCAAGTGATCAAAAGTACACCAAGTACTTTAAATTATACATAAGCATTACTCATGTCAATCATACATAAACATTCATGAGCATTACTAATATCAATCATACATAAACATTCATGAGCATCACTCATGTCAACATTCATGAGCATCACTCATGTCAACATCCATGAGCATCACTCATGTCAACATTCATGAGCATCACTCATGTCAACATTCATGAGCATCACTCATGTCAATCAACATAAACATTCATAAGCATCACTCATGTCAATCAGCTTCAAAAGCTTCATTTACAGAGCTCTAACTTCGAAAGCTTCATTTACAAAAACTCTAGCTTCAAAAGCTTCATTTACAGAGCTCTAGTTTCAAAAGCTTCATTTACAAAAGCTTTAGCTTCAAAAGCATCATTTACAAAGCTCTAGCTTCGAAAGCTTCATTTACAAAAGCTCTAGCTTCAAAAGCTTCATTTACAGAGCTTTAGCTTCAAAAGCTTCATTTACAAAAGCTCTAGCTTCAAAAGCTTCATTTACAAAGCTCCAGCTTCAAAGCTTCACTTGCAAAGCTTCACCTACAAAGCTTCAATGCATGGTATACAAATACTGCCTTCGAACAACCGCCACTTTGGCCAATACATGGATTCAATTTGAAGTCTCCAACCAACATACTCTATTGACCGAAGACTTGAGGGACTACACTATACATCATATATAGGGCCTCAACTGGGCCTCATGAAAAATACTTGGGAGACTTAGCCCATTATTTATGTACTGAGGAGCGAACCCTTATTGTATAAAAGGAACTCTCTCACTTTCATTAGAGAGCACCCATTATTCATGTACTGAGGAGCGAGCCTTTATTTTATAAAAGGGACTCCCTCACCATCATTAGAGAGCATCGCCGCTTGCTGAGCAACCGCCTCGCCGTGAACATCACTCATAACCCATTATTTATGTACTGAGGAGTGAGCCCTTATTCTATAAAAGGAACTCCCTCACCATCATTAGAGAGCATTAACTCTAGCCCATCATTTATGTATTGAGGAGCGAGCCCTTATTCTATAAAAGGGACCTCCTCACCATCAACACCATAAGCCAAACCTCAACCAAGGCAACATAAGCCACAAGCAGAGTAGCCTCGCAACATGTGCTACTTCAAGTTGAGCATTATTTCAGATTGAGCACCGTCTCATATCGAGTATCGGTTCAAGACAACATCTAGTTATTTCAGCCCACACATGGACTGAATTTCAAGTCTCCAGCCAAAATACTCTCTTGACTGAAGACTTGGGGGACTACTGTTTGTACCATACTTAAGGCCTCCGTATAAATACTCAGGGGACTCAAATGTAATTATGTAATAAAGAAATGGGCAAATATGTAAAAAAGGGAGGAGCCCTTATTCTATAAAAGGGCCTCCTCACCCTTACAAACCCTAAGCCTCACAAGCCTCCTCACCCCCTCAAGCTCTCACCCTTACTACCATCTCACATGCACAGAGGCTCTCTCAAACTCTCTCCTTCTCTGGGGACTCCTCCTCACCCTTGTAATCCATACATACAGTCAGAGAAATACAACAAGTGTGGACGTAACCCAAACCTTGGGGTGAACCACGATACATCTTGTGTTATTTACTTTCTTGCAGATTCACAGTCGGATTTACGTTGTTCTAAGACCCCTCCGGTTTTGTGCATCAATTCTAGCCCATCATTTATGTATTGAGAAGCAGCAAATATGTAAAAAGGGGAGGAGCCCTTATTCTATAAAATGACCTCCTCACCCTTACAAACCCTAAGCCTCACAAGCCTCCTCACCCCCTCAAGCTCTCACCCTCACTACCCTCTCACATACACAGAGGCTCTCTCAAACTCTCTCCTTTTCTAGGGGACTCCCCCTCACTCTTGAAATCCATACATACAATCAGAGAAATACAATCAGTGTGGATGTAACCCAAACCTTGGGGTGAACCACGATGCATCTTGTGTTATTTACTTTCTTGCAGATTAACGGTCGGATTTACGTTGTTCCAAGACCCCTCCGGTTTTGTGCATCAATAGATTGGATTAAAACATTAAAAGCAAATTCATCTATGCTCCACCTTTGATATCAAATCCAAGGGTACGCAACCATACATTTCTTGGTGACTTTTATCACATCATAAAATATTACAAAAACTAATAGTCAATTTGGCTTCTGAGGAGTTTTTCTTCACCTAACCGAGTAGATTGATACAATTTTTTTTTAAGCCATGATTCCACAATGGTGGTCTGGTTTTATGTACAGGTAGATATAACATCTTGCGAATCCTGTGAGTTCTACTCTTTCTCATCTTCATCGTCGGAACTCCCATATACAACAGAAAAGTAGAATCCGAGTGTCTTGGACGTGAGGCCCGGAAACCTGTGAGCACTGTCTGGTTGCATATCAATCTTAACAAATGGCCATCGCATTGCTTGTGCTGCTTCACACTCCTCCCATCCATCCCCAATTACGCAGAAGCGGGCATTTGGGCTGTTAAAACGCGATTTGATCTGCTCAAAGCATTGTAGTTTTCCCACTTCCCAGGAACTATATACTTCACAAAAATTATAGATTCGTCAGTATCTGTCCTCACAACTTATGAATAACATGTTATATCCGCCCCCAAATGCATCAAACAATCTATTCGGCAGTCATCGGAATCCAAGACAAAACCAAAATATAATAATCTTTGTAACAGTGAGGAGTTTGTTGCATATTCATTACTTCAAATCAAGTTTTCCAAATGAATTTCCAAAAAGTTTAACTGCACTACTGGGCTTTATGCTAATACTCGACACTAACTATAAAATATTGAATATCAACTGCATCTTTCTAGAGAATTTACTTGAGTCTGTTCTATAGTATGCAAGTGTTGGTGCGATCTGGTGCTAGAACGTCCCAAGTATTTTGACAATTCTTCATGCCATATAGTTGTATTTGGGCTAAACTCTAAAAGTTGGTTGCCTGGAATCCTGATTCCGATCAACAAAAATTAAAAATAAAACAGTTGCTTCTTAAAATTCTCTTTCCAAATATTTAACCAAAAACATTGAACGAATCCATGTTCAAAATGTTTTCAAGCTGGTTAGACTGAAGTAGGATTCGGTCTTAAAAGTATCTGCCACCACACAAGTGGAGATTTACCAGACTACTAAGGGAGGTTGCATTTCCAGTAAGTAACTAAGTACGATTAAGGGATAATTATGGAATAAAAAATAAAGAGAGAAGTTACTGTGACCTCCAGTGACACAATAGTTCACACATCTAACTTACATGAAAAATAGGAATGAAAGTGCTTAATGTGTTATAAATGCACAATAGAGCACAGACTGTCTAATCTTCTAACACAACTTCGGTATTTAAGTTTTAAGTTTTCTAATTAATGAGCCAGAGTAGCATGAAACGTGCGAAATCAATGTACTTTGAAGCTCTCAATTGTGTTACTAATGCACAATAGAGCACAGAATGCACAGGTTACAGTATAAGTCAGTAACGTAAACATAAAAGTGATAATGATTACTAACCATTTTCATGTGTACCAAATTGATAAGGATTCAGAAAACAATGAAAAACAAGGGTCACAAATGCCAACAATAAAAAGTTTGTAATCATAAAAGTGATGAGGAATACTAACCATTTTCATGTGTTATCATATTGTTAAGTCGAAAGAGCAAGCATTTTACAAGGCTGGGGATTAATGACCCAGATGTCACTAAAAGATTAATACGTTGATACTTTGAAGCGGAAGATTCATTGATCCCATCAGAAGCCATGAGAGATGACTCATTGTGCCGAGCAGAACACTCTTCCTCCAAGAAGACACGCGCTACATTAGCATAGGAGGAAGATGATTACTGAGCAACTATTAGACAATGTTTAAGAATGAAAAAGAACATAGTTAAAACACTATATTTCTAACATCACACAGAGCAAACTGGCTATTTAGATTACCAGAGGGTGCTGAGAGTTGGATTGGATATAGAGGAAGGGAAGCAAAGTAAGATAAGGGTTGATTGCAATGGACAAACCACTATTTCCAAGGTATGTTGAAGGAAGAAACGAAAAATATTGTGTCCAACTTGGAGGAAAAGATGGATTACTCATGAATAAAACTTATCCATTCCAATCGCTCCCAAAACGGTAGGATTAGAAGGAAGAGGTTTCCTTCATGTCTAATCCCCTTCTAATCCCCTCAACATGAAAAATCTTTCTCCTCTACCTTCAATATAACTGAATTTGGAAGGTTATCCATTCCATTCCAACCCTCGAGACAAACGAGGCCAATATTATTTGTGATGGTAGAATATCCATATTCTGTATCCTCAACCTATCATAAAAAAGAATGTTTACCAAGCAATTGCTATCTAATAGGCACAGGAAGGTCATTCCAATAGCTACTTCCATACAAAAAAGGGTGACATGCTCTCAACTTTTGTAAACCATCAAAGTATTGGTATCTCTTCTTTCATATTTAGATGCTTTCCATCATATCACATTAAGTCGAGAGAATATTTTGAGTAGATTAATGGCTAGGGTAAAGAAGTGGGGACCGGTAGAAGGGCTACATATGGATTGGGAAAGGATTGCAGTTTCTCATTTCCAGTTGCAGACTAAACCAATTTCTTTCTTTTGCAGAGGGAGAATAAAATTGGGGCAATTTGTTCGCAGTGTTGGACATTTTGTGCATTGTCTGGCTTGAAAATTAACAAGGCGAAATGCTTAGTGTTGGCTGCTGGGTTAGTGTGTGAAGTGGGTTGGCAAACTTTTGGGTTCCTTTGGGGTTAATCAGAGGTCTTTTCCTTTTTGGGATTCGGTGGGAAAGAGTAGAGAAGAGATTGGATGGTTTGAAGCGGGCTTTCTTGTCAAGAGGTGGTAGACATATGGTCATACAATCTGTATTGAGTAGTTTGCCAGTTTATGATCTTTATTTGTTCAGCAATCCGGATGATCATAGATGTAGGTTTCTATACCACAAACTTATTACTCAAAAACCTTATCTGACATAATGGAGACACATTCCTCAACACAGTAAATTCATTTTGCATTTTGCGCCAGTGCAATCACTGTGGCTTGAAGTGGAATAACTGTAAGTGTTCACGTTCTATGGCAATGGGAGCAATGAGTTGTAAACTATTATGATGACTTTGTAATAAACCTTACAATGTTTGTATTTGAAATTTTCATTCGCAGAAAGTATTCTAAATATTTTGCATGTCTTCTCGGGATTTATCAGTAGAAACTTAGACCAACCTACCTAATATTAATCTCATCTTGCTTAGAAGTGGTTTTGCAGGTATCATTTAATAGAACAATGATTCTGTTTTTATGCAATCAGATAGCTTTCCCTTGATTTTGGAAAAGCATTTATGTATTGCAATATAGAATACTGGAAGAAAGGCCAAACTCATCATTAGGATGAGAAGGAAGTTGAACCAGAGGCGTGTAGGCGGGATGAACAATGATCGGAAGAGAAAGAAAACAATAGATAGCACATTCGCAAATACCTGAGGAGAGCCATCTATCTGTATATTTATCAGTCGTATCATACAACTCATCCAATCCTTTTATCATCTCTTGATTAAGAAAACTGCGCAAACCCTGAAATAATAAAAACCATTTGAGCTTTTCTAAAAAAAGGTCTAACGTTAAAACATCCAAAATAGTTTACAGAAGCGGTTGTAACTTTCTTAAGCAGAAAAATATTAGTTCTACATACAAATGAATAATAAGATCAGATGTCAAATCAGTATGATGCAAGCTCAATATAACTTTCCCACATCAAATGTCTTAATAAGAGAATAGTTTAGATTGCTATTTATAAGCCCAAGATAGCCAATCCATCAGGATCCAGCCAAGCAGAGCCAAATTCTGTAAGACTGCAGTCAAGCTTAGTCACATTCAAATATAGAATGCCTTCATGATTAAGTTAATTATCTGATTCATTCATCCCTCGAGTGTTTGAATGAAGATGATACAGGTAACAGATAAGATCATACAAAGTTTTCCATACACCCATTTGACAAGGAATCTTCAAAGAAAGGAACATGCATTTTTCTTTATTTAAATTTTACAATGAACTTTGTAAGAAAGAAGAAGTTGGAAGCTTATTACAGCATACAGGGTACATTATGAGTAATGCTGATACTGTTTCTCTTTTTGGAGTTCTGTCACATCCTAGAGCGAGTTCCTAGCAAATTTAAATGCATTTCTGACCAACTACATATTATACGATAGATTAGAATCATAAATATTGCTCAAGGTGATCATGTGCGAAAACAGATTTGCACCAAAGAAACCAGTGCATCTCTATAATGGCTAGAACAGTGCACTCCAAATAACCGCAATCCTGAAACCAAAAGGCCTGCCTCGATGGTTTGTAAGAGTTTGAGACAATTACCAATGCATACACCAACTGACAAGTAAAAGCATAATAATGTAAATAAAAGAAAATTTCTTTTTGCAAAATGCCTGCATTTACACACCTGTTTGTACCTATGGGCTATGACTCGGTGCCTATAAGCAAGTTTCCTATTGTTGTCATCATCATGTGGAGTACCAAATCCATCTTTGGCGAAATCATAACCAGAAAGATTCTGCCCATCATCATATTGGCTCAAGGCATCGAGAGAGGGTTTATTGCAGTTCTCAATCTACATAGCATGCAAAAATTCAAATTCAAATAAAGAACATGCATACGAATATGTGTATTTGTAAATGAAGTTCTAAACTTACCTGTTCATAAAAGAAATGATCGTCGCACAAACTAAGAATGTGCTTCTCCCACATCTTCCCGATTTCAACACCCTCTTGTATATTCTTGGAACCGTTGAAAACCTCTGCGTATGTTCCATTCAACAAAGACTTGAGCAGGATAAGAGTTTCATCCATATCCCAAATATAGACATTTATCTTCCGACCAATGCTGCTCTTCGCAAACCCCTTTTCCATACGTGTACTTTCACCCATTTTCTTGTTCCCGTCAATTCTAAGGAGCTAGGTTATAGTTTCCAGCCTGGAGAGTTCAACAACCAGGCATTTACATATAATTATTAACCAATCAACACAATTTTGCTTCAAAAGCATACAAACTTGTCATGTCATCCATGGATTTCTCAACCTACATATCAACCAACTAAAAAGTACAAAGCTTGATGTTATTTAATATTTAATCAACGAAAGACATCAATGAAGATACTTTGTGAGACTGCAATCGAATCAATGGTACCCAGAAGAGGGTTCTGTATTAAATAACAATAAATAAATAAGGAAGGGCAATCAAACACAATCAAACGTTCTTGTGTTTGCTTATCCTAACTTGGTACAACCAAAATCTGCTCAACACAATCAAACAGCAACAGATAAAGGATGAAAGACAAAAGCTGAGATTCTTACCTGGAGGTGGAGGCTACAGGTCAGTAGGACTGGGAACGCAAAATTTAGAAACAAGAAGAAGAAGAAGAAGAACAAGTGTCCTTTGGGCTTCAGAGTGCAGACAGATCTCACCCAATCCTATTCTTTAAGCCCGAGTCCAGGTTGGGCTGAATGGTAAAAGGTTCTGACTAAAACCCTAGGCACCGATTTTTTTTATTTCTTTTTATTTTATAAATTTTATTAGATTAGTCATCAACGGGATTTGACGCCATTATGCAAGGGATCAACTCATTTCATCACTGTGGTTGATTAGGTCCACTTACTTAATTATCTACATCAACTTATTTTTATTATCTTCTTATTAAATTGTGATAAATATTCCTTTATTTATAAGATTATCTTTTACTTATGTGTTAACTAATCTATTTTGTAGGTACTATATATATTAGCATACATGTAAATCTATGAAAGATGAAATTTCTTTAAACTATTTTTATGGATGATAGGTAGATGAAGTTTTATTTATTTATCATATATACTTATATGACAGGTAAAATGTATTTTAACAACATATAATATATGTATCATATATGATAATATATATATATATAACTATTTTTATTGAAAGTAGTTAGATATTCATATTTAAATATTCAAACTAAAAGTTTGAGTAAAGATGCATAAAAAAATAGGGTTAGTTTGGTATTGTCGTGCTTTAAAAAAAAAACTATTTATGTTGTGCTGTGAGAATAAATTACTGTAAAATAAAGTTGTTGAATGTTTGGTTTACTTTTTATTTTTTATTTTTTTTTATTTTTTTTTATAAAAGTGCTTTAAACAAAAAAAAAAGTGTATGAGTGTTTGGTAAACTTGTATATAAATTGTTATGATATGAATATGTTAAATGACTAAACAGAATATGATATTTAATGTGATGTAATAATTATTAAAGAGAATAATGTAGGAGCAAAGATTGTAATTTTGTAAAATATGTGAGGGTATACTTGTTATTTGAAAATTTAATTAAATGGACATTGATCACTATGCTTTTTAAAAAAAAAACTTTTTTAGAAGCATTGTAGACCTTACTTCTGCTTTTTTATTGTCATTGACAACAGTTAAAAAAAAAACATTTTTTTTTTGTTCTACCAAACATATTTGATATTCCATATTTTATTAAATAAGCTGTTTTTTCATACAATGATATATATATTTATATGTAGATATGTACACACACCAATAAAGAGAGGAATAAATGAGTTGCGAACTCCTCATTCTAGATATTTGAACTTAAGATCCTCACTTACAAGTAAAGGATAGTACAATTAGACCGTAGTATTAACGACTTTTGAGATGATTTAGGGTATTATTCAACGGTATTTACGTCTGCTAAACTGCTAATGATCCCAAGACCTTATTGGTCTATAGGATTGTATTGAATGGATAACTCATAGCACAGTGAAACAAAATGGACCAACATGTATTTTGGCTGAGTGTTTTATCTCTTTCGTGGTGTCGTGTCTAATTAATGATATCTGAAATAGACGCTCCAAATTTTCCTCTATTTATAATCCTAAATGGAGTTCTATGATTATGCATATTCTTTTTCAACAATTTGGAAACACAATGGTGACGGGAGGGGTTTTACCTCGTTAAAATTATTTTGCGCTTTGAGTTAATTTGTTACTTCCACAAACTATTCTAGTATCGTTGATATATGTTTACAGTCCTATTATCGTGATTTACCAAAACAACGGATTGTCACATCATTTCATTAATCCTACGATCTAATTTGAACATATATATTGTGTACCATCACACTGCATTTCCAATTGTCGTGATCTTATTCATCAGAGTTGGTCTTATAAAGTTTGACATATATTTACATGGTAATGAACTTATTTCTATGTATTTGGAATAATTTGTTTGGTTTTGGTTTGTTTTAAATTATGGATTGTTATTTGAATGGATATTATTTTCTCGAATTGCTTAATTGAATGAATAGACTTATATTTATACATGCGACCAATTCAATCAATTTATTTCTAGGTAGGTCTAGTGGGGAAGTTAGTTGTCTGGCAGATAATGCAATCACACATACCATCTTGCGTGAACAACATTATTTTACTAACTTAATACCCAAGAAAGCTCATTTGACAACTCTCTTAGGCCCATCTAACCTGATTGAAGGATACAAAAAGGCACGTATCATGTTGTCTAATGGTAAAATTCTGACCATTAAGGAGGCACTCTATTATCCACATTTCGGAAGAATGTTGCTAAGTTTTAGAGATATTCGAGATAATAAATATCATCTTGAAACCACTGAAGATCATGATTCTGAATTTCTTTGTATCACTTCGTATGAATATGGCTAGAAGCATATTCATGAGAAGTTGGAACGCTTGCCGAATGGGTTGTACATCACAACCATTCGCGTCATAGAAGCCCATAATGTGGCCAGCCTTATGCCTGAGTTCTCGGACACTTTGTTGCTTTGACATGATTGTTTGGGACATCCTGGATGTGACAAGATGCGCCGTATCCTCAAATCTTCACATGGGCATAAGTTACATCCTTATGTTGGACTCCTACCATGCAAAGCATGTTCTTTAGGGAAGTTGAATACTCCACCCTCATATACAAAGATTATTCATGACCCCTCTAAATTTCTTCAGAGGATTCAAGGTGACATTTGCGGACCAATCCACCCAACCTGCGGACCATTTAAATATTTTATGGTGTTGGTTGATGCATCGACAAGATGGTCACATGTTTTCTTGTTGTCCACACACAACGCCGCGTTTGATAAACTTCTAGCTCAAATCATTAAGCTAAGGGCTTACCACCCTGATTATCCGATCAAGTTGATTCGACTGGATAACGCTGGAGAGTTTACGTCGCAGACTTTTGACGATTATTGTATGTCAGTAGGAATTAATGTGGAGCATCTTGGGCCCCATGTCCACACCCAAAATGGCCTGACAGAAGCTTTCATAAAGCATCTTCAATTGATAGCTCAAACTTTGGTTATGAAAACCAAATTGCCGGTATCTATCTGGGGCTATGCAATATTGCATGCAGCTATGTTGGTCCGCCTGAGGCTCACCGCTACCCAACCACATTCACCGTTACAGTTGGTCATTGGATACTAGCCTGACGTCTCGCATTTACGGGTGTTTGGGTGCACCATTTATGTGCCAATAGCGCCTCCGCTACGTACCAAAATGGGTCTTTAGAGAAAAATAGGAATCTATGTCGGTTATGATTCGCCATCAATTGTTCGCTACTTAGAACCCTTGACAAGAGATCTCTTTACTGCACGTTGTACGGATTGTCACTTTAATGAGACATTCTTCTCATCGTTAGGGGGAGATAAGCATGCTAACGTTCCTGTATAATGCCACTAATTGTTGTGGTATGCTCCCACTATGTCTCATTTAGATCCCCACACTGCTTAGTCTGAAACCGAGGTGCGTCGAATTATAGATCTTCAGAGCATTGCTCAAAGTATGCTGAATGTTTTTAATGTCTAGTAAAGGTGACAAGATCACACATACCTGCTACAAACACTCCTGCAAGGATAAATGTACCCCGTGTACATTAATAACCCGCCTGGGAAGGCTGGACTGTCCCGAAGATGGGAAGGCCGCACCTTCCACGCGCAAGGTACATTGGAGGCTAGCCAATCATCTGCTTCGACCCTGAAGCATGGCAGACCCCTTGTTTCAAAGAATTCATAACCACGGAAGAGGAAAATGGCACCAACTAGTGACCTTAGTTTAAATCCAACCATCGCTCACTCATCCGTTCCAACGCATGAGGTTATTTTAGATTACGGTGATGCTTTAGATGAAACATGCTGGCCTTCACAGAATCGCGAGATTTTGGTTCACTACACAGTATTGGATGAGGTTTGGAATAGGAATGAGATGATCGTCGACGATGCATTCGTGTACTCAGTAGCTACTGACATCATGCTCAGCGATGACATTGAACCACGTTCTGTCAAGGAATACCGACGTAGAACCGATTGGTCAAACTAGAAACAAGTAATCCAGGTCGAATTTGATTCGCTCGCGAAACGTAAGGTATTTGGACCTATCGTTCCTACACCACCACGTGTGAAACCCGTTAGCTACAAATGGGTTTTCATAAGGAAGCGTAATGAGAAGAATGAAATAGTGCGATACAAAGCATGCCTCGTAGCACAAGGCTTCTCTCAGCGCCCAGAGATTGATTATAAAGAAACGTATCCGCGTATCTCTATGGGGATCTAGATACGAAAATTTATATGAAAGTTCCAGAAAGACTTTCATTGACTGGTTCAAATACTTCTAAACCACGGAACACTCTCTCAATTAGGTTAAGGAGGTCACTCTATGGATTAAAACAATCTGGGCGGATGTGGTATAACCATCTGAGTGAATATTTGACAAGTCAGGGTTATGTGAATAACAAACTATACCCATGCGTGTTCATAAAGAAGTCACATTCCAGATTTGCAATTGTTGCAGTTTATGTCGATGATATGAACCTCATTGGGACTCCCGCAGAGCTTGAGTAAATTGCTACACACTTGAAATCAGAATTTGAGATGCAAGATCTTGGGAAAACTCGATAATTTCTTGGCCTGGAGATCGAGCATTGTTCAAATGGAATCCTAGTACATTAATCGAACTACACCCAAAAGGTGTTGCTACGTTTTAATGAGGATAAAACGAAGCCTTCGAGTACACTCATGGTCATTCGAACTCTAGATGCTAAACGAGATCCCTTCCGTCCAAAGGAGGATGTGGAAGAGATTTTGGAACCTGAAGTTCCTTACCTAAGTACAATTGGGGATTTATTGTACTTGGCTCAATGCACTAGACCTGACATCTCCTTCACTGTGAATCTATTGGCTAGATACAACAATGCGCCCACACGTAGGCACTGGAATGGTGTTAAAAACATTTTCCGCTACCTCAAAGGTATTACGGATTTAGGTTTGTTCTATACTTGCGAATCTCCAAGTGTTGCCCCCTCCTATGACCCTCGGATTGATTCTTGCCTTATTGGTTACGCAGATGCTGGATATCTGTCTAATTCACACAGAGCATGTTCTCAAACGGGTTATGTCTTTATCGTTGGAGACACCGCTATATCTTGGAGGTCTACCA